CTTTTTTTGGAAATAATGTACAGTACTGTATAGGGTTTTTTTTTTCTTTTTTATTTGTACATTGTTTCTTACAGATGTCATGAGAAACAAAACAAGATGCAAAAAATATATATTGTATTTATTTATTCATCCGGAGTGCCTGAGAATGGACTAGATGTGTCAGTATCTTGTAGTAAAGAATTCACTATAAGTGGATCATGTTAAATGACCTTTTTCTGTAAATCAGGATTTTGATTGTTTGCAAATTTGGAGATGTCTGTATCAGCAATTTTTGTCTGTCTGGAATAATAAAAAATATTATTAAAAAAAACATCAGTCTGTTTCATCTTTTTTATGTAGTACAGTTTTTTTCTATCTACAAATTTTAAACAGGTGAGATCAATACATGCGGGTAAAACTCTCCAATAAAAGAAGAACCCAGGTAAATAAATACTTTCATATGGGTCTACATATGAAAGGTTGGATGTCAGACTCCATAATGGTTCAGCATATATTTCAAAACAAATAATTTACTAATTCACCCCTTCCATAAAGATTTTTTCTCCAGTTTTTCTCCAGTGCTAAATCAGTTCCAAATATTTTGTTTTTTATCTTGTAGTAAGTATAGACAGTCTTATTTTATTGGCCAATGCTGTACAAGGTAAGGCTAGAAAATCATGTCAAGTTTATTAACAGTTCAAAAAAAATCTTTTTTTATAATAATAATAATAACACAACCAAAATGACAATCGGAGAGTTAGTTTATATTTTGTCAAGCTACAAGTGTTTTTTTATGTGCAGACTTTATTTCATATTACTTGTAATGAAGCAGACTATTCCTTATCACTGAACACACACTACAATCTTCCATTTTGCATCCCTGTAGCAGATTTCAGCAGTCATATTGATTACTTCACTGCAATGTTAGCTTTAGAAGTCATGTTAAAATGGTTCTTTGCTACTAAAGGGTTACCAGGCTTTTTTTCCAACACCTGAAACCAGGTAAAGGTTGTCTCTTGTCAACTCTCCCCATGGTGCTAGGCAAAATTGTTACTGCTCTGATTGACTCTCTTGAAGGACAGCGATAGTTAACATTTTTTATAGGAAATCTTCATTGGTGTACATTAAAGGCGATATGTTTCTATTTATTGTTTTTGTTTTTTTATGCATTGTGCTGTATCAAACCATCTGAATTACTGAATCTATTTGCCATAATCTTGTAATAATCTATTGACAAGATTATATAGCAGATTTTTAATTAATAATATTCACTCCCAGAATGATTAAGACCATGAAAAATAGTGAAAACTAGTAAGCATGAGGAAAAACTGCATCAAATAGAAAAGGTGTTTCTTTAAGGATGTCGCAGCCTCCAAAGTGAGACTTTAAGTATCAGCAGCAGAGCTAGGCTGCACCTCTCTGACTTACTATGGATGACTAGTGGTGCAATGGCACTGTGGTCAGCTGATCAAATAAAAACTTAACAGTGGACCCATAGAGGTAGGGCAGCCAAAAACATGAGCATAGACCAAAAGGAAAATGATTCAGAGCCTTTAAGTATAGCTGGGAAGATATTCTGATGTCATCAATTAAACTGCAGCACATTGCCATAAAAACAGCAAAAAAACATAAAATAATATATAACACACATTTTGTAGTTAATTTACTAATTGAGTAGAGGCTGTAAGTGGTTCAAAGGGTTTGTTTACTTGGTGTACTAGATAACGTGAAGTTGTGTTCACTTTGAATAACTAATAAAATAAAAAAAAAGGATTTTTGCTTGAAAATGATTGGGTGATGATAACCGCCTAGTAAATCAACCGTACTGTCTTTATTATGCACCAATGAATCTGTCATAAATGCAAATTGAATGAGTTGTCTACTAAGCACATGTAAGCTGCTGCTAATACAGTCCAAAAAGAGAAAGAAAGAGATCTGCAGCTGTTTCCAGAGATACCTTGGTTAACTTGTTGTCCCTTTCAGCCTTTAAAACCCTTTGTTTACTAAAATGCCAGTAAACAAAGCTTCCATTGACTGCCATCAATGTTATTAGATTACAAAATGCCCATCTTTATAAATGTTACTGCTCTTTTGGCTTATTATAGTCATAACGACTAGGTGCTTTGCACTATTAGATGGTTTCTTTTGGTTTAGAAATGGTTGGCCCTACCTAAAGTGGTATTATAGCATTAGCTAGAATAATGCTAGTGGGTTGAATATCTCATCAGGCTTTTATATGTCTTGGAAACCTTGGCAGCAAGACATCTGTACTCGAGTTCCAATCTGCTGCAGCCTTTTAGTCTGATGGAGTTTTTAATTTATTATAAGGAAGAGAAAACTTCATGACATGACTGGTGACTCTAATAGTTAAATTAGAGAGAGACATAAAGCAAGTGGCTGATTCAGC